CTATTTCCATTAACTCCCTATGTCTATTTATCTATTTGCACATGGCCTATCAAATGGTAATGGAACAAGTAAATATTTGGTCTACTAGGACAGGAACCTATTCCAAGGACAAAGATTCAAAGGTACAAATTATATTAGTATGGTTAGGTTTTGTGTCCCCACCCAAATCTCATCTTGAATTATAATTCCCATAATCCCCACATGTCAAGGGAGAGATCAGGTAGAGGTAATTGAATCATAGGAATGGTATTCCCCATGCTGCTCTCATGATACGGAGTGAGTTCTCACATGATCTGATGGTTTTATAAGGCGCTCTTCCCCTTTTGCTTAGCACTTTTCCTTCCTGCCTCCTTGTGAAGAAGGTGCCTTGCTCCTGCTTTGCCTTATGCCATGATTGTAAGATTCCTGTGGCCTCCTCAGCCATGCTGAACTGTGAGCCAATTAAACCTCTTTCCTTTATAAATTACCTAGTCTTGGGCAGTTCTTTATAGGAGTATGAAAATGGCCTGATACAGATACCATCATTATCACATTACCACCACCACCGCCATCATCTTCATCAGTATCATTATCATTTTACGTAACATTCACTGAGTACTGAGTAGATGTCATACACTAGGCAATGTATTTTACATGCAAAATTTCATTTAATTCTCACAACCCAATCAGCTTACTCCTTTAATTTAGTAAGATAATAAATTAGGTAACTTGTTGAAACCTCATAATCTGCAGGATAATCATGGCAAGTAAGTCCTCCTTTTATACACTGGTTTATACTTTTAGCAACAATGTTAACGTGCTTTGCAAATTATAAATGCTATGCACTCATAAGCAGTCATCATCATTATTAGTAATAATGTGATTTACTATCTGAAGAGAGCACATACTGATCATTCTGTGATATAAATAACAAACAAATGTAAATAAATCTTAGCTCTGAAGTAATCCATTTTCTTGTATATTTTAGGTCTATCATTTAGGGCCAAATGAATGAAATGTTTGGCAATACATAAGCAGGCAACACATTTGTTAATGATATTTTTTCTAAAAGTCATATTATGTTCTAGTTATTATCAAATTTTCAACTTTAGAATAATGATTTCTAAGTTTCCTTAGCAAAACAGATACACATAAAAAATAATGTGTTTTGAAGACACTCACCCCTCAACAAAACAGAGAAAACTAAACCAGGCAGATCTGCTCAAAACATGGTAGAAAAAAAATGAGCCAAATGGTTATTTGGCACTCTGTTGATAAATGATTAACCATAACCTTCAGTTGTTCTATCACTTTCAATCATTTTATTTACAATTTAGAGTTAAATTTCAGTAACGCTAAATTAAATTTACCTTCGCGATTTTCTGACATATTTTCAGATGATTAGATTACATTTTCCTGCAAATAAAACTATATATTACATTTTTATGCCATTGCTCTGGACATAATTTTATGCTATGAAAGCAATTGATATATCTTGTTTTTTTAAAAAACTATTTCTTTGTGATCTTATTTTACTATTATTTTTGAGACAGGGTTTTGCTTTGTCATCCAGGCTGGAACTCAGTGGCATGATCATGGCTCTGCTAAACTACCCAGGCTCGACCCATCCTCCCACCTCAGCCTCTTGAGTAGCTGGAACTACAGGCATTCACCACCATGCCAATTTATTTACTTTGTTTTTTTGCAGAGACAGGCGTCTTGCTGTGTTGCACAGGTTTGGTCTGAAACTCCTGGGCCCAAGTGATCCTCCCATCTTGGCCTTCCAAAGTGCTGGGATTATAGGCATGAGAGCTGTACCTGGCCTGTATGTCTCCTTTATAATATACTATTATGTTAATTCCTTTTCCCCAATATAATATTATTATTTATTTCTTATATAGAAACTGCCATTTGCTGTTTCAATAGTTCTTTGGAATGAACCCAAAATAACAAAATTTTTAATGAAGGACAATGCTAATTCATTCAACATTTGTATCTCAATTGTTGCAGGTTGGATGAGTGGGGCATACATTTGAAGTAGATCATATGAATGATATTTATATTTATATTCCAAAATAAACCATGATTTGAATCTGCAAACCCAATGTAAATTATAAATTAAAAAAATGATGCAAACTTTTTGAAGTCTTAACAGTTTTCTAACATCTCTGTTTCCATTTAAATTTACATTTAGGCCTGTAATCAAATGGTTGGTGTGCATTATAACAGAGAAGCAATCTAAAATTTCCAGAAGAAAATAAGTTGTCATTGTAACTGATACTTCTTTTAAAGAATGTCAAATATAGACATTTGAAATTGTTAAGTTTCTATTCATAATTTTAGAATGTATGATTTTTCAACTAAGTGTCTTCTTGTATTATGGAATTCTTTTTATTTCTGTTAAAATCTTAGCCTCTTAATTAATATTAAGTATTATTATTTTTTGTAGCGAACTAGATTTTTTTTTTAAAAACCTAGGACTGCCATATTGAACAAGTCGTTCAATAATAAAAATGGTGCTTTTTAAGTGTGCCTTCCAATTTTAAGAATAAAAATGCACTATATGTCTGGGATTTGTCATTAAATAAAGCCGGTTTATTGACCTAAAACATATAGATCAAGGTAGGCAGAATGCTAAGGAAATGTAGCCCAGTCTTGCTTTTGCTTGAATAAATAAAAAAATTTTTACATTTCAGCCTTCTTCCTAAACAACACTTTGACCAGAAGTATTGACATATAGAAAAAATTTAGTGATCTGAGTTTCAGGTCAATGTATCTGTCTCACTAACCCCAAGGGTTAGCAGTAAAGAAAGAAAGAGAAACAAGAAAGCTGAAAAATTCATGAACTGTATTTTTCAACATCTGAAAAATAAAAAATTTAATATGCTTATGTTGTTGTAATAGAATACTCATAATCCTGTTACTTCTCTCAATACTTTTGCTTTGGAAAAAGAGGTTCCACCCTAATTTTTTAAACTCACCATGTGACGTTTGTGAACAGTTGATGAAGAACATTCTTATTGTGAACTGAAATAAATGGGACAAACCTCACATGCCACCCAGAAACATAAAACAAAGTCATGCATTTCAGATAGAACGTTTTGCACAGAGAAGGCATATATATTTTCATGACATTGTAAACTTAATACATTCAGAAAAAATAATCTAGCAGTGTACATTATTTGTTCCTACTATGCAACAATTTTCTTCTACTTTAATTAGGTTTGTGCAGTTTTTTAAAAGTCACATTGTTGTGAGCGGCAGTCTACTAATATCCAATCATTTTCTGATCAATTCAATCATAGTCAACAACAATCTCACAATTTATCATTTGCCACCCACCTTCAACCTGAGAATGAGAAATTCCTTTTAAAACAAGTTGTACGATGTTGGGGCTCAGAACATGATACCCCAGAATACAGCACAGAGTACTTTGACCTGAAGAAGATTGAAAGGACTTGGGAAGCAGGATCTTTTTGAATTTCTCCCATCTATCTGTTTCCCACTCATCTTTCTCTCCTGCGGAGAATGATAGAAACCGGAATTCTCTCCCCCAAGGCAGATCATAGAAACTATAACTTCCCTTCCCCAAAGCAAGCTATAAAACCTAGAAAGATTGACCTTCTCCCTTCTCCCTTGAATTATCTCATGTGACAGGTGACTTGTCCTGCACCTGGAGGAAAGGAATACCACACAAAAAGTCCAAGAAGAATCTGAACAGATAGGCCTTGCTGTGTTTTCCCTGTCTGTCTATAACCATTAGATCACATCCTTTTTGTCCAATCATATTTCTACATGGCTCTCTATTCTTCATTGAACCTAAGCATAAAAAGAGTTTTCTCTAAGTCTTTGGGTCATTTCTGAAGGCTCCTGTGTCACACAAAACTTTTCCCTTGTTAGCCTGTCTTTTGTTACGAGTGTCAGCCTTGACCTTTACGACAGGGCTTTTGGTGTAAGAGTGCCAACAATGACCCATCCCAATCCCAGGTGATCACCCTTTCCAAGAAGCATAGATCTTTTGGTCTAAATTGAAGCCAGTATTCCAAAAATTATTTCATCTGAAATAGATTGTTTAAATCAGTGTTTCTCAGATTTGATGGAAAACAAAAATACTTTTTTTAAAATTTTTCAATATGTTTCAATGTTACTTTGAAAATTATTCAAGTGAACCGCTAATGCAGACTTAAATTATTTCAATTACATTTTATATAGATTGAGACAAACATAAAACAAGTAATAAACTCCTTATACTTCTAGATCAATTAAAATCTAATACGGTAAAATATTATTTTGACATAATAAAGGATAATATTTCGTCAAAGCTGAATCACCATTCGTCATACCAATATGTCAATAATGGTAGGACATGAAACATTTGAATTCGGAGCAAATAGACTGCCATGTGATTATCTAATTCCTTCATGAATTTTTCTCCATTTGTAGTCCTGTGATATCCTTTGGCTTTAGTTGCCACAGACAAATGTTGACATATTAAATATTCCTCTGCTCATTTCTCATTTGCCTGTGGCACTAAAAATAATCCTATACCATTTTGCCTAAATATGACCTGGATAAAAAGACAAGCATTGGCATAAATATCACAAGAAAGTATTCTGTCATGATTATCCAGAAGGTTCACATATGTTTTTATCATTTGTATTATTAAAATCAAATTAAAACACAACACTTAAAAATTATCACAGATTATTTGTAGCCCTCCTAAATGCAGAAGATGAAAAACAAACAAACAAAAATAATTAGTTTAATTAAAGTGTACTTTCTTCTAAACCTAGTGAAATTTCCAACTTGTGCTAAAACCTCATGGAGGCAAAGACGACTGACCATTTTGAAGTCAAACTTTGGGTTCTTTTAAAATCACTATATAGGCAAAGCCATGTTTCAATCAGCTCATAAAATACATCTCATGGTACTGCAAGACTCCTTCTTGCATAGTTTGTGTGTGTCACCTGTAACCTCAAAAAAGTCTAATGTTGAACTTGAATTATAAAATAGATTCTAACCTTTTGTTTTCTCTAACTGCTCTGTCTCCTTTCTTCCAAGAGATGGTTGGTTTTGGAGAGCCTTGGGGTTTGCACTCTATGACAACTTCTTGATCTTTGGTAACAATTATTGTTTTCTTCAGTTGATTCAGTGCAAAAGTGGGAGCTGAAGCTGTTAAAAAAGCAAATGTTAGTCCTACCAGAAGCAATGACGATAATCTCTAATGGATGATTTATGAAGATTTTGTAACTTCTTCTGGGAGGCATTTCCCATAAAATCATAGTATATCTACACATGAAAAAGGCACTAGCTCAAAATTTTACGTATTATTAGTTAATATGTATCTTACTACATTAGCAGGTGATGATGTCACACAACGTAGGATCTACAGATAAAGGCTATTTCAAAAAATGACATGTTTTAATTGTGATTACCAAATTCAATTATGAAAGACTAATGAATGGCTTTGGCAAAAGAGCGATAAGCTAACCAAGAGAATCCATTTAGGCTTCCTTTGGTAAGATGGAGGTTACCTGTCAAAAAGACAGTCCTGTGTCTTCCATTTCCCATCTACGAATCTTAATTTATTCTGTATATTACTTTAATATTATAAAACATTAAATTAATTTTTTAAAACTGAACTATTTGAATTTCAATTAGAGTTATAATTTTCCTGTTAGGTTTGATCATTTATTAATAATATTGTGTATACTATAATTTTTATTAAAACACTTTTGAATCTAAAAGAGAACCTGAAAGATGTCTACAAGTCTAGAGTATCTGTGACATTTATTTTTACCAATCTGATATTATATGTATTTCATATTATATATATAAAATATATAGCAACATAATGCATGTCACAACATTTAAAAAGATATGTACACAATTGAGATAGGTTAAGAGATTTTTTAAAACTAAAGAAATTGGCCTGGCATGGTGGCTCACGTCTATAATCCTAGCACTTTGGGAGGTCGAGGTGGGTAGATCCCTTGAGATTAGGGGTTCGAGACCAGCCTGGCCAACATGGTGAAATCCCATCTGTACTAAAAATACAAAAATCAGCCAGGTGTGGCTGTGGGCGCCTGTAGTCCCAGCTATTTGGGATGCTGAGGCAAAAGAATCACTTAAACCCTGGGGGCAGAGGTTGCAGTGAGCTGAGATGGCATCACTGCACTCCAGCCTGAACGACGGTGAGACTTTGTCTCAAAGAAAAAATATTGACAAGCCAAAGAAATTTATGGGGAGATAGTTGTTGCAGGTACCTTTTTTTTTTTTTTTTTTTTTTGGCCTACTGGGAATAGAATTCACAGAAAGTAATTTTGAAAATATTTCTTGTGAATGATAAGGGTTGAATAAATGTTTCAGAGCTACTAACTAGGTGAAGGGTAAATCAGCCTTTTAATTCAGTGCTATTATAGTGTGAGTTGACAAGAAAGTACATTAACATTTAATTGATTAGAATGAAGGAGACTGAAAGGAAGAATCCTCTATCTATTTTGGATGGATTTGTTGTAATGTGGAGAAATGTCAACTGGAAACATTCATAATTCAACAAATTGCTTTAGGATGTATTACATTTAGCTGATACAAAAATGGAAGGCTCCAAGATTCCTGAGATCTTTGGTGTTTCTCTTAAGTTATGTTTTGATGATTTAAATGGGGAATAGAAAGCACAGTTGGGCTTCTGTCCGCTTTGGAAAGACAATGAGTTAGTATCTTTCTCAACATTACAAACATCCCAGAACCAGTTTAGGAAACAATCAAAGTGGGAAAAGTAAAATCCATTCCAATGGCTCATACATGTTTATTCTGGGTAGTCTATTTCCCTGGATTGATTCTTTCCTGTAGTATTTAAATAGTGAAGAAATGGAGCGCCTGGGTTACATTTTTATCAAGGGTGTAACCCTATGAGATTGTAGTGCCTGGCATCAGGAAGTCTTTCCCTGTTACGTAAGGATGGCAGGAGTTGATGCCCCATGAGGGGAGAGTGATTTAGCCTGGAGTCTTGTCTTTCAGGAGCCACACAGCTACTGATAGGAAATGCCTGGGAAATTATTAAGCATTGCTATGGGAGCATCGACAGGCTGCTGGAATTCTATATTCTGATCTCCTACCCTCAAGGCATTCTTCCTTAGAAGTTAACACATATCTCTTCATGTGATTTTTTTTAAGTGCCATAGCAAAGGTGTATTGTGTAAACCTTTTAAGATTAAAACTAAAGTTAAAAAAACTATACGAACAAAAAGTTATGCGACAAACCATACACAACATAAACCTGTCTACTAAAGTTAAAAAAAAATCAGCAAGACATAGTATTTATTTTCAAGCCATAAAATAGATTTTTACAACCACATCATAAAACTTCAGTATAGTAAAAATTAGAGCATGAACAGAAGCAAGGTTTATTTTTTTTCTATTTATTTACTTTGAAATTGCATACCTAGAATCTTCAGCTCAGCACTAGCATAAATGGCTCCATACTTATTTTCAGCCAAACACTGATACATTCCAGCATCTGATTGATTCACATTGTGGATCATCAATACTCCATTAACCATCTCAACCCTACTCTGTAATGGAATTAAAAAAAATTAGATCTAGAAAGTAAACAAATAACATGGATTTTATGGGTATCCTCTGCTAGACTAAGAAAAAACAAGTTTGCAATTAATGCAGTTAAACATTATTTGGCCATGCAGCAATGTGAATGTACTGTTCATTATTTTATTATAACATGCATCTGGTAAATTATGGTTATTGATTGGTTGAAAATAAATTATAATGATACTTTTATGGAGTTATTCTGGCAAGTTTTACCTTCAGTTTTGTTTTTAAAGTGAGGTGTCTTTTTTTGGTACACTAGTTGAGCTTGTGAAATATAATCAGCAGGTGATGCTTTTATTTGCATTCTGTTTACAAAGGGAAAGAAGGATTCATATAGTAGAAAGGATTGAGGTTGTAGACACATGAGATCAAGGTTAAAAATAGCCCAGGTCATAAGAACAATCCCTTTACTATATTGATCCAATGAGGAGTTTGTCATTTTCACTCACTTCCCAAAAAACTAACACAAATTGAAAACTGCCTTGTGACTAGATTCTAGATAAAATTATTGGTCAGACAATATACTTCAGTATCAGAAGAAAGTTAGTATAAAAGACAAAAAATTGAGCATGTGCAAATTAAGGTAACCTTAAGTCAAGAGCATATTTCAAAAACAAATTTTAACTTTAAAATGTTAAACAACCAGACGTCTTATCTACTTAATGCCAAACAAATCATTAAAAATAAAATCTTAGTTGGCAGTGTTTTGTCTATCAACAAAGATGCCAAGTAATTTTAGGTGATATCTAAAAGTCAGCTACAAATGGAAATAAGTCTATGATAATCATTGATAGTTTCATAAAAATTTATAGGATTGAAAACATTTTAAAGAAACACTACATTACCAAAAAATGTAATGAGGAAATTAAAATAAAAAATGCTTATATATTTGTTATGTTTCTCACTCAAAATATATTAAAATAGATGACTGCTATATCCCAGACATTGAGCTAAATTCTCAGTTAATCCCGATAACATTCATCCTTAACACAAACACGTCCTATATTATGAATCAGAAATAGGAAAAGACTTTCAATAAGACTAAAGAAGCCTAGTTTGTCCAATGTGAAATCTTGCTAAAATTACAATAGAACAGGTTAAAAACTCCCAACAGTACCTGAGATGAGAGGGGTACTCCATTCTTCAGCCAACGATATGTGGGTCTGGGTTTTCCAGTAGCCTTACATTCCCATCGGAGAGGGCTCCCACTGTCTAACTGAGTATCATTCAGTTTTTCTACCCAGTGTGGGTAGGCTGTAAGTATGTAAGCAGTAAACAAGGATGATTTCATTTCTCAAACACCTTACCACGTTAAAAATTTACATGGAAAAATTCAATGTATTTTTTTTAAAGCAAATTATTCAACCATAGGTATTTTGAAGAAGAATGGCATTACACTACACACAAAATTCTATTTCCTGTACCCCCAAAAAATAGTAGTGAAGATATTTTGATAATATAAAATGCTATTGTAACTATGCAAAGTCTTCTTCTTCTTCTTTTTTTTTTTTTTTTTTTTTTTTGGACTTCAAGTGGTTTAGTTATCCCCAAGGCACCCGAACCAGTTTAATAGGAAGTCAGGTATTAGAGTCATTGCTCTTTCTACAGCATTAGCACAGGTAGAAATATACAGTGTAACTGTGTAACTACTCAACTTGTTTCTGTCTCTCTCTCCATATATATAACACCTGAATGACTTTGGAAAAATGATTTGTGAATCCAGATTTTACTGTAAAATTTTTCTTAATTTACATTCTTGCAATATAATTTTTTTATGTTTGCAAAAACGTTAGAGGAAACTTTATTTTATTAAGAATGAGATACTGTTGTAATTATATGAAATCTTAAAATACAAGTTAAAGTTCGTTTCCACTATTGGCCAATTTTTAAGGAAAATAGTTGAATAAAGCTGTCTACAAATATTCTGTTTAAAACAAAGAAATACATATAAAAATATTACACTGAATTTATTATTTCTAACAAAATTTTTGGCAAAAACTATAAAATTTTATATGTACTACTGAGGGCTTTTATCATTCATTCATTTATATGTTCATTCAGATATGCTACATAGTCCTTGTTCGATCTTAGAGGCTATTAAGAATATAGAAACAGAGAGGTTCTACACTTAAAGAGTTTTTGCTGTGGTAGAGGTGGTCTAACGTCATTGCCAAGGAAAAGGAGAGCATATGAAAAAAGATGTGTTAAACAACTGCACATTGGACCTGGGACAGTGGCTCATGCCCGTAATATCAGGAATTTGAGAGGCCAAGGCAGAGGGATTACATTAGCCTGGGAATTCGAGACCAGCCTAGGCAACATGGGGAGGCGTTGTCTCTACTAACAGTAAAAAACATTATCCAGGTGTGGTGGTGCACGCCTATGGGTCCAGCTCCTTGGAAGTTTGAGGCAGGAGGACTGTTTGATCATGGGAGGTTGAAGCTTCACTGAACCATGGTCATGCTACTGCATTCCAGTTTGGGTGACAGAGTGAGAACCTGTCTCAGAAAAGAAAAATAAAAAATAAAGAAAACTACACATGCATGTCAGAATAGTGGGTATAAAGGAGTAGCAGATGTCCCAAACCAAAGCCAGTTTAGAAGGGGGGAGAAAGAGCAAGAAAGAACTCACATTTATTAAATGCTAGTCCTAGCCATTACCATGGCCTAGACACTGAGCTAAATTCTCAATCCCTGTAACATTCATCCTTAAAACAAACATGTCCTATTTTATGAATCAGATAACCTTTGACTCAAAGAGATTAAAGACATTTACCCAAGGTCACAAAGTTAGTTATTTGTTTCTAAGTGGGAATTTTGCTTTTCTTAGCTTATTGGTCTTCTAGCCAATATAGTCTGGACTTTAGAAGCCCCACTTTGGCATAGCATAGTCAGGATTTGTAGACCTTGGAATACGTTCTGTGATTCAGCTTCTAAGCCTGCAAGCTATCATTCAAAAATCTTACCACGGTGAGTTTCAGATATTGATCATGATTTTTGTACCTGTCTTCTGAAATCATCTCTTTGTAGTTATGTGTCATATATGCTAAAATGCTGACAGGAGTGGTGAGATACACAAGCAATATTAAACTCTACTTTTACATCTGGGTTTTCTGTAAACTTTGCTAATCTGTCACAATACTTTATACTATGCATGACTCCTGTAAGCCAAATAAATTGGTGTGTTATCTCCCAAGCACACATTGTATTTTATTTAAACTGTTCACTCTACATAGAATGTTATACTTCTATTCTCCGTCTCTTTTAATTCTACTCATGATTCAGTATTTATTCTAAATTAAGTAAGATGTATTAATCACAGCCTCAAAGAAGAGTCATGTGCACCTCCTCTGGACACCTGTAGTTCTTATTCGTTTGGAAAATATTCCTGTAGTAGCTTGTTACCTCTCTTCTGTTGCTGACTTAAATTGTTATTAAATATTTTAGTTGGTTTGAGTTTGACACTCAGTGAGACAGTGAGATCATTAAGAGCAGAGATCATTCTAAACATAGTTTTAGACGAAACAGTGTCCTACATATAATAACTGATTGTACTTGTTTGACTTATTGATCTATCTCTAAATGTACCATGACTGTGAGCCTTTAAAATAAATTCAAAAGAGACTTTTAAAAGTTATAGAAATGGATCCGGCCACTGCACTCCAGTCTGGGCGACAGAGCAAGACTCCATCTCAAAAAAAAAAAAAAAAAAGTTATAGAAATGAAGAGCTAGGAAAGAAAGAACTGTTAAAATATTCAAATAAAAACAGATTTGACATCTGAGAAAACAATCCATTAGAAATTGGAAGAAAAAATGTTTCTTCAAACATATTTTGGAATACTCTGTAAAGTGGCCTAATTTAGAGTCCTGATTCCAAAACAATTTTTTCATAGGAATCAAACATATGATTAATGACATTAATATAAATATGAATTAATTTTTTCTTTCCTTTCTTTAGATTTTGTTTTGGATACCATTATAGGTAAAATGCTTACTCTGAAGATATGAATATAAATGTGCCATCATATCTGTTTGCTATCAGCTCAAATTCTAGTGGGTGAAAGGCCATTAAAATGTTATTCAAATTAGTTCTACCAAGAATTCTACAAGTAAAAGTGGCCTGTTACACTGCCCTCAGAACTGTAAAAATGCTATCAATATGTCAATTATTGGCAGATAAGAGATGTTGTTTCATATTTTATTGCTTTGAACACTGTACTTCGTGTGTGAATCTTTTGTACCAAGCTATGTTATGTATGAGATCTATACATCTGTAACTTTATCTCTATCTATGATGCATAATAGCAAAAAAAAAAAAAAAAATCCTGAAATGGTATAACTTGGTGATGTCACCTGGCTGCTTAAGATGCCATATGCAGTTAGTATATGTAGTCTGCTTGTTAATTGACTTGATATAAAAGCTTTCAAGCAACTCCAAATACACACACAAGCACACAAACACATAAACATACACACACAAACATGTACACAGACACACATACAAGCAGAATTTAGATTGCAGATTGTGTTACAGTGAAGTTAAGATCTATATTAGAAAAATAAATTTAAGTCATCATTGAATAAACATTAATTAACATGAAGGCTATGGGAATTTATGAATTGTTGTCCTTCATATAATACCTGGAAAATGTAGATTATGTTCAATACTGGATCAATTTGACTTCTACAATAGATTTCGTTTTTACATTGTAAGGTATTTTATAAACCACTAGGTCTATACTATACGGACCAAGGCAAAAACATTATGTGAAAGGGCAGTGGTAAAATTTTAAAAAGAAAACATTAAAGACTGGATTAAGGCCTGAAATAATTTGTCTTAGGCTGTAATCTGAAAAAGACAGTATAGTACTTGCAAGATTCTTACAAAAACAACAAAATTACTGGTAACATAAAATCAGAAATATAAAAGGTTACATTTAAACTTTTTTGTTGTTGTTGTTGAGATTGAAAGTTACTAAAGGGCACTGGCTTTGGCTTCTGAATAATAACATGGGGTGAGCAGACACCAAGACATGGTCTGCATTATGGAGAGTCTTTCATCTATCTGGGAAAGAAAAATCACAGGTTGGGTCACATTTAAAACAAACCTAATAACTTTAAAATCTAGCTTTTGTCAAGCCACCTATTTTAGGATATGGAAAACTGAAGAGACATAGGGCACTTTAAACCCAGGAGCTGTTAAAGTCTCACCAGATGCACCGTACTTATGTAATACATTTGAGCTTCAGATCAGTCTCTGGGTTACATTTTATAAAACGCTAAGCAGATGTGCATAAAGAAAACTCTTGCTTATTATCTCTTGTCATTAGGAATTCTGTAACTCTCTACTGATGAATGCTAAGTGTTATTGGCCTCCTTTGTTGCTTCTGTACTGTTATGTATTGAGGAGTCAACATATCTTATCCGCATAGATCACTTTCAATATTACGACTCTCAGCTGTGGGCCAATGAGACGTAATGTGTTATATTGGAGAGATTATATGGTTGGGGGTGAAAATGGGTTCAAATTCTAGTGCTACCCTGCCCTTGCTCTATTATGTGACTGAGAATGAGTTATTTAACTGTAACGAGTCTCAGTTGTAATCTGTAGATAGTAATTCCTATTTAAATGAGCTACTTTGATGACAGAAGATAATATATATTGGTTACTTTCCTCCCAGTCCATTGCCCATGTGTAATGTTCAACTGCATTTTCTAGCAACTGTGAATATACATATGGCATCACTTTCATAATAACAGTAGAATTCAAGGCAAGAATTTTCTCTCCATACAATGGGATTGAAAACTGTCTTTAGGTATGAAATTATTAACCAGGAATCTACAAGTTTATATTGTTTCCTAGAGCAAATCTTTGATATATTTTAATAGCTAAAACATCTTTAAAGATCAGACCTAACATACATAAACAGTGTTTTGAAGAAAAGAAAAAAGAATAAAAATGAATGGCAAGGATTTTAGTATATCGTACAGTTTTCTCTAACAGTAATAAAATGTTAAGTAAGTATATAGTAAGTAGAAATTATCTGCTCTCGATGCCACTCTCATCTCATGCCTTAGTTCAGGTTCTCAATGTCTCACTGAGAAGTAGCAAGCTATCCTTGGGGGTAGAGGCAGGAGCTGAATTCTCGTGTCACTGCCAGTTTCAGTTGGATTTTGGTTCTACTATTTGTTATTAATGGATCCTGGGGTAATAAATCCTTAATATTTTGAGGCCTAGTTTCTCATCTGTCAAATGGGAATCCTAATACCTAAGGGTTATTGTGAGGTAATATATGTAAAGCACCTCATAGTAGTGTCTAGAAGATAAGCTCTTGGTAATCTTTAGTTCTCTTCATTAGTTCTGTAGTCTTTGCTGACTCTCATCTATTTTTCATAGTGGACACTGTAAAATGATGTGCATACCTAAAGCACTAATCTTTATAACAGTATAGAATCATAATAAAAATTATCTACTGTGTGCTGAACAGAATTCATAGGGCTAGATGAAAAAAAAAAGAGACTGTTTTGAAAGAGCTTACAATCAAATTGCATGTGATAGAAGCCATTAACATTTGTGAGGATACTGTTCTGAGATTTTATGAAGATAAGGAAATCTATAATGCCACTCTACACTGAAAATGAAACTATTCCTTTACTGGATATTTAGTACAGTACAACTTACTTTTCTTTTAAGCATTCTGGTTAAAGGAATATTTTAATGCTGATACAATTCCAGTTTAAATAGTATATATAAACTGTGTGGAGATCATAGTGACTGTCTTTATAGAGTGACAAATTACTAGTTGGTGAAGCACATGATACACATTTAAACTCACAGATCACACATCTTTATATAATGAGATTTCTGTTTACATAAAGTATTTCCCATTTTGAGAACTCCTTATAATATAAAACTGCTTAAATGATGTTTGTCCTTCCTGCCTCCATCTTTTCCCCTTCAATTACCCCTTCCCTCCTTATTTTGTTCATTTCTTTTGTCATTTTGTCATTTTTCTTTTATTTTTAATTGAGAGCTTTACCAAGTAAGAGTTCAACTTGTATTAGAACTATAAGAACAAAATTTTCTATGATGAGTTAAAACCACATCTTTTTGATCAATCGTCAGAAACTAGAGAGGACAGAAATAACCAAAGAAATGGCTTAACCCATGAAAATCCTATTATCAAGAAAGACATACCAAGTAGAATATTTGTGCAGTTTATGCTAAGGTTCAAATTATTTCCAAAATTTAGTATTTTAATTTCACCAAGTTTTATTTCTTTTTTATGAGTATTATTTTTAAGACCTATTTTTGTTATATTAGACATGTAAGTGTACCTTAATTTTAATTTATTTAACTACCATGGGCTTCTTTATGTTGTCTTTGTTGTTTTATGTTTACAATGTAGATACTGAATTAAAAACAGTAAAATATGTGGCTTAAATTTATGTGTGCCGTCTATATAGCACTTTTATAATGCTTTGACCAAGAAAAGGGACTAGAAATGCTGCCTTAGATCCCTGGTTCATTTTTTTGAAACTAATAGCTAAGCATTAGTATTCCTGCAATTGTACTTTCAAAAACAATGTGCTACAGGAAAGACCATATGTTTTCAGTACTCCATGAATATTGACCGTTTGGATAAAAACGGTAGCCTGTACTTCTGATAGAGCCCCAATTACAGAGCTTCCTACAGTAATTAACTATATTGAGAGAATATTCTAAATATAAACCATGGAGACGGTGAAACATCCATTCATCATGCTATCCATATCTACTGCCAGTCAGGTGGAAATGATGGCCAAGATCCTATCTACATTTTACAGAGTTTGATGGGGAAGAAAGCCCTCATGTCAAACATGACAGTTTTAAAAGTACAAAAGTTGAATGAATACATGATAACCGAGATACTTTTATTTTTTATTTGTAATACTTTTTGAGACATGGTCTAACCCAGGCTGGAATACAGAGGTACCATAATGGCTCACTGCAGCGTTGACTTTCTGGGTTCAGGTGATTCTCCCACTTCAGCCTCCTGAGCATTTGGGACTACAGGAGTGTACCACCATGCTCAGATGATTTTTTTTTGTTTTTTGTTTTAGAGACAGGTTCAGCTGCCACAGCCTCCCAAAGTGCTACAATTTCAGGTCTGAGCCACTGCACCTAGTTACCAAGATACTTTTAGAAGTGAAATAGGACACTCTTCATAATTGTCCTAGGGCAACAGATGTAAAGTGGGATTTTCTAGAGCAAAGCAAGGTGTATGGCCTCCTGATGGAGCCTGGTAGAAAGCCACCCTAAACGTGGGCTAAAGAAAGAGTTCACATGCTTTCAAGATATATTTCCCACCTGTCACAAATATATGCCAAGTAGCTAGCCGGCCCAGTTTCTCTTTCTAAGGAACAATCTAGATTTTTTTTTTTTCTATTCAAAGTGATGCATGCTTTGAATAGGTTTGTCTTTACCCAGCTGGCCTACAGTGCATGACAAGGACACCCCAGATTGTTTAAGTAGCACTTTCTCACTAGAACGTACACCAGTAATATGGAGTGAAAGCAATTTTTTTTTTTTTAAATTTCTGGAAACAGTCAGCATTACCTATGAATTAAGTAGCTGGGGTTAAGGGAGGAGTAAGTAGAGTTATGCTATGTAGGAGCCTCAGTCCCTAGAACATACAATCTAATTCTATTTAGGTGTGGGCCAGTTTTTAGAACACAGAAATTGGTACTTTCCTCTGATAGCCTTCAGCATGCTTTACATGATTTGTGATTTTCAGTAGTAAAGTTCTGGTTGAACACTTGTCTTTCAGTATCAGATTTTTATCTGTACAGAGGGATGGTAATACTTCAAACTGTTGCCGTGAGAATAAAATGACTGTGTATTTTAATGTTAATCTTTGCTCCACTGGTGTAGAAAAAACTTTTTTTTCTATGGCTAGGGAGAGTTGTCTTAATGATTTGTTTTAGGAATTATGAACAGTTACAAACTTTGTGAATTTCATCCAAATACAATATTCATGGCCTAAAAACAATCAAACCACTGCTAATATTTCAATCTTAGAAACATTTAAATGTCTATGTCCTTTTCTTCCAGATGCTCTCCCCTGTTTAGCCCTTAAGATACCGATCCTCTCTAAAGCTTTCCCCGACTCCTCTGAGTAGAATGCAGTAGACTCTGCATTCCCACAGTCCTCTTCACATGCCTTTATCACTGCACATAGAATGCTCCACTCTAATGTGGGGTTTGCTTTTCATCTAGTCCAATGGATCACGAGTTACTTCAAGGCTCTATCGCTAGCATGTAGAGCAGCAAGAGGCACTTAACAAACATTAACCATATCAATGAATGAATGGATAAAATGTTCAATGCATAATCAATTTGGTTAGAGTGCTAAATTCCTAAAGGAGTTGTTAAAGATGAAGAAAGACTGGCTGAATTCAGATATTAATATTTTATTTGTTTTTTTTTTTTTTTTTTTTGAGACGGAGTCTCCCTCTGTCGCCCAGGCTGGAGTGCAGTGGCGCGATCTCGTCTCACTGCAAGCTCCGCCTCCTGGGTTTACGCCATTCTCCTGCCTCAGCCTCCTGAGTAGCTGGGACTACAGGCGCCCGCCACCGCGCCCGGCTAATTTTTTGTATTTTTAGTAGAGACGGGGTTTCACCGTGGTCTCGATCTCCTGACCTTGTGATCCGCCCGCCTCGGCCTCCCAAAGTGCTGGGATTACAGGCGTGAGCCACCGCGCCCGGCCAGATATTAATATTTTAAAGTACTCTTTAGGAGTTCCTGTAAAGGGCATTAAGCTTTTAGAACTGATCTTGAGATACAGGGACAGTCATGGTTTCCCGGAGGAAGCAGCCAACATGAAATTTGGATAACTATATATTCAAGGCATGTGTATTTGCTTATATCAATGCTCTAGCCTATTGCTTCTCTTTTTAGTGTCCTCATCTGGAAAATGAGAATACCCTAACTTACCCATTGTATATATTGTAAATCAAATATGAAAAGTGCAAACAACTTAGAACTTTAGAAGTAAAGATGAGATTGTAAAAACTTTTGAACCAGATATTCCTAATTCTTAGACACAACCTGGGTGATTGGCATTTTTGGACAGTATAAACCCTTACAGGCTGTAGGGGCTATTTATTATACAGATGTATTAATTTAGGCCACAGGTCAGCAAACTTACTCTGAAAAACGCTCGATAGCAAATATTTCAGTCGTTGCAAGTTGGTTGGTCTCTGTCTCTATTTAATTCTGCATTGCCAGGCAAAATCTGACCTAGGTGACGTGTAGACAAGTGGGTGTGACTTTGTTCCAACATCATTTACAAAAAATGGCACCTGGGCAGGATTTGGTTGATGGACACTAGATTGGAGCCTCTGATTCTGACCAAGTTCTAGAATAAGTTAATAAGTTTAGTAAGATTTTTAACGTATCAGAGAATAGTGCTGGTGCCAGGGAAATAGCTCATTTTTAAGGACGTAAGTTCTGTATTCTGTACAAAGACACCGATAATTCCCCATTCATTTATAATGTAAATCATTTCTATGTGTAGGGTAATTTGACGTGATGCCTTACCATACAAAAGAAGTATGATTATAAATTATTACTTGGTTTTTATGCACCTAATAAACAATATTTACTTAAAGTTAATTTCCACTTTCAGTTTGACTTTTGGGACTACAGCAATCATGCTTTGCTGAAAACACTTACTGTATACTTGTAATTGTCCACGAAAGGAATTTTTTCCACGTGAGTTTTCAGCTCTGCACTCATAAATGCCTGCATCATCCAGCTGTACATTTGGTATTTCCAGCACTGCCTGAGATTTCCGCAGACGTGACTTACTAGGAATATAGCCATTAACCTTCATCCATGTGATTGTTGGAACGGGGCTACGAGAGGGAACAAAAATACTGTTAATACGCTTTCCACTATTAGGAACATAGATTCTGTTATCTGGTAATTTAAGCACTTAATAGGCTGAGTGCAATAAAATGTAATCACAATTAAGGACCATGTGCTGGTTGATATATTTCACTTTCCATGTGAGTTGTCTGGTAAGTAGATTATAAAAAATGTTTCCTTTTCTTTCATATTTCAGGAAAGAAATTCAAAGACAATACAAATTGTAACCAATTATGATTTATTTTTAAACACACTGGTAGCCAGATGCGGTGGCTCACACCTGTAATCCCAGCACTTTGGGAGGCCAAGGCGGGCAGATCGCCCTAAGTCAGGAGTTTGGGACCAGCCTGGGCAACATGGTGAAACCCTATCTCTACTAAAAATACAAAAATTAGCCGGGAATGATGGTGGGTGCCTATAATCCCAGCTACTCGAGAGGCTGAGGCAGGAGAATCGCTTGAAACCAGAAAGCAAAGGTTGCAGTGAGGCGAGATTGCACCACTGCACTCCAGCCTGGGCAACAAAAGTGAAACTCCACCTGAAAAAAATAAAACAAAAAACAAACAAACAAAAATTGTTCTGTTTTTATAAACGACAAGAGTAACTTGACAAAATTACCAATATGTGCTTATTGCAATGAGTCAAACAAAAGGGTTATGAATTAAGTAAATTAAAAACTTGTCCTGCCTCCAACCCTGCAAATCTTATTTTTCTGGCCAAATAGCAAACACAATTTACACAGAATCTCCCACTTCATCTCCATGAAGCATATGTTCACACATATAATGAGTTATTTCTGTTTTCTTATTTTTAAAATATAAATTTTGTATATTTGCTGTTTTATTATTTAAAGATCATATTCAATACATATTAGCCTGACTTATTCTGCTTAATAGTTGCATATTATTTCGTTGTGTGGATGTACCAGTTTTAATCAACTGCCCCCTTGTAGGTAAACATTGAATGCAGTCAAGGTTTTTCTTTTTTTCTTATTTTTTAAAATATTTTTTGAAACAGAGTCTTGCTCTGTCGCCAAGGCTGGAGTGCAGTGGCACGATCTCAGCTCACTGCAACCTCTGCCTCTCAGAAGCAATTCTCCTGCCTCAGTTTCCCAAGTAGCTGGGATTACAGGTGCACTGCCACCATGCCCTGCTAATTTTTGTTTTTTTAGTAGAGACGGTGTTTCACCATGTTGGCAAGACTGGTTTCGAACTCCTGACTTCAAGTGATCTGCCACCTCGGCCTCCCAAAGTGCTGGGATTACAGGCATGAGCCACCACGCCCGGCCTGTTTTTTCTTTTTTTAATCATTAAAAAGCAATGTTGCTATAAACAACCTTGCACATATTTCACGTACTATTCTATTTTCTCTAGCAGTCTTTCACAAAAGTGGGACTGATGGATCAAAGGACGTGCACATTTTCAATTTTAACAAGTACTGCCAAATTGTTTTTCAATTATATATGAGCACTTTCCCTACCTATTGTTAATACGTGATACTGTTTCCCTATATCTTTGCCAGTATTGCATTTGATCAATCTTCTTAAAGTTTTGTTAGTATTTATAGGTTAAAAATGATATTTTATTGCTTAATATTTTCCTGAACCCTAAGGAGGTTGAACATCTTTTCATGATTTTATTGGCCACTTGCATCTGCATTTCTGTGAATTCTTTGCTTATGCTGTTTTATTTTATTTTGCTTGCTTTTTTATTTGCTTATTTGTGTTAATTTCTTAGAGTTCTTTGTGTTTTAGGACCATCAAACTATTCTTCCCCAGTGTACTGTTAGCTTATTATGGGGCCTCTAATACAATTTTATAATCATTTTTGGGGAGAAGAAAACATGTCTATAGTTTCCTTCCTGACTTCTGATTTTTTTTCCTGTTTACAAAATTATCTAAAAACCTAAGTTTGTCAGTATTTTCTGAAGCATTTGGTAGCATTTTCTATTACTTTAAAATGTTTGGATCTTTCATCCAACTGGACTATATTTGTGTATTGGTTTGAGATAGGGAATGTAACTGATTATTTCAGCATCATTAAATAAGTACAACTCCTTTTCCCACAATATTTAAAATGTTGCTTTTGTCATAGAATATGTTCCCACGTACTTGAATCTGCTTCAGGCTTCTCAATTCTGTTCCACTGATTTATTTAGTACTATATATATTTAATACACTTCATGCTTTGGACCCAGTCGACTTTTTCAGTTTGATTTCTCACTACTTCTTTCCAGATATCCTGACCCAGAAACACATCCCTCTGTGTTTCCAATCATATCTGTTAAAATGCTACTCCTCCTCTGGGACCTGTCCTAAATGCCTCCCCTTCAGCAAAGTCCTAATTTGTGTAGCCAGCTAGAATTTTTTCTTTTAAATAACAAAATGCTTTGTGTATCTTACTTATGTCCCTTGTAACAATCTACCATAGATTATAACTGTTAAGTGTAAGATATTTTCCCATTATTTTCTCCTAAGGAATGATAGCAATGTTCTCCATTATAAATGACATTATGATAACCACCCTTATGTATATTTGAATACTTTTCTGCTTTATTCCTTAGGAATAAAACATAAAATTGAAGTTGCTAGATTAAGGAGTTGGCAATTTTTGCTTGCTGGTATAGGTGCATATATTCAATGTCCAGAAAGGATGAACCCTGCATTTTGGAACATCCTTTACATCAGTGTGATATTCTTTTAACAGATGCTAGAATTTTTGCATATATTCAGAGGTGAGATTGTCTGTAGCTTATCAAGGTTGTTTGTGAGCTTATTCATTGGTGAGTTCATGGTTTGTTTACAGACTGATTTGACAGATGCAGTATCATAATGATGAGTGATTTGCTTGGTAAACAAGCCAGAATATTCCTATTTTCTGTATTCTGTATCAACTTAAATTGTAGGGAAATTATATTTGCCTTCAAACACTGATAGGATTCTCACAAAGTTACCTGGGTCTGCCACCATCAGTGGAGTTAGTTTTTTGACTGTGTTTTCCTTGACTGTATTGTTTAAATTTCTGCTTATGCCAACTTTGGCAATTCACATTTCACTAGAAAATCAACTATTTTATCCATAATGTCAATGTTTTAGCAGCAAGTTATACAAATTGTAATTGTGTCGTTTAAAATAGTCTTAATCACAGGTAGTTACATATTCTAGTAGTTAAGTGTGGGTTCCGCAGCCAGATTGACTGGCTATAGAGGTAGCTCTGCAACTACAAGTCATTTAACATTTCATTTCTTTAGGTTCCTCAATTGTAACGTATGCTAGAAATATTACGAATTATGTCAGAGAGTAGTTGTGAATCTTGAAAGATTTAAACAGCCTGGCACAAAGTAAGTAGGCAAAAAACCCTAGTTTACAGTAATAAAATGATGGTCCTTGTATATTCTTTATAATTTATATCATAAGAATATATGTTTTCTGTATTTTTGCCCACAGAAATAGCATTACATATTGGTTAGGAGTGTGGACCTTTAGAGAAACCTGCGTTCTAATATGATATGGACACAAAGATGCTATGTGACCTTGGGAAATTTGCCTAAGTTCTCTAAATTTTGTTTCTCATCTGTAAAATGAAGATATTTGTTTATTCCTCTAAAATGCAAATATCTTTAGGGCAGTGGAATTTTGTTTAGCAGTATGTCCCCAGTGCTTCATATCATGTTTGGTATATTGTTAATAAATGCTTATGAAATAAATGAACGATTGTCAAAATACTATTTTGAGGATTAAGTGAGATAAATTCTTACGAATTACTTAGTGAAATACATGGCATACTGTAAGCACCCAATAAATGTTAGCTATAATAAGTTTTAAATGATTGCGTATGTCAGAAGTTTGTCTATTTTGTTGGTCTCTAAAATAAACATTTTAAGTTTTTATTAATTTTTTTGTTTTTAATTGATGAGTTTCTATTTTACAATTTACTAATTCCTCTTTTGCAACCAGTACATTTATACTATACTTTAACTTTTTGAGCTGAATGATCAGTATAATTATTATTCATGATTAATAATAAAATCATATGACTATCCTTTCTGCCGATAGGAAACATATAGCTACATATGATATGTGTTGATACATAGAGTGATGTACAGTTTTCACTTTCTTGAAACTGCTAAGCCAATCTTTGTAGTCATGTGCAGAATTAATTTTTGGTACAAGTTCCATGTTATTGGAAAAAAGTATATTTATGATAAAAGTTTAAAAATTAGTTTCTATATGGCTTTTGTTAGTTGTCATTCAGATGTTGTTTTCATGTTTTTAATAATTTCGGAACAGTTTACCTCCTATGAAATCCTTGTACACTAAAATAAAATAACCCATATCAATAGATGCAAAGTAGTCTGCCTGAAGCAGGATTGAGGGTCCCGGAGTTTGCTCACTCCTCCCCCAACTCCACAGAAAACTACTACTGTATGTCCTCTTTATTTTCATCCAGATTGATCAGTCAGACTGAGATAGGTGTGTTAATTTCCCCTTACTATCATTACTACCAGTATCTTCTTATATGTCTAAAAGTTTTATTTTGTGTTTTGATTTTCTCTGAAAATACATGTTCATGAAAGTTATTATTTTTAGAGTTTTAATTATCTTTTACGAAGTACAACGACCTTATTTCTAATTTTTGCTTTAAATTATCTTTTTAAAAAACACTCCATTAACCTCATGCTCTTTGCCTATTTCTCCTATTATTTTTAGCTTTTTTTTTTTTTTCATGGTATGTCACTTTGTTTTAATCTAATTTCCTCTAAATGGCAAATGGTTATATTTAATTTTTGACTTAAAAGCTATATTTGGTAATCTGTGTATTTTAATAATGGAATTTTACTTTTTGATTTTATTGCTCCAATTTATTCAATTGTTCTTATTCAGTTATCCCAGAATCACAAAATACAGAACAACACATAACTTCATATTGAATGTTCATAGCAATGAAACTTGGAGTAAAAATAATCATGGATTAAAAATGATCAAGGA